AGAGAGAGAGAGAGAGCAATCGATGGCACGAGACAGGGGTGAAAAACGGACAGAGGGAATGAGTTACAATAATAGAAAAAGGGATTCTACAACGGTAGGGGATCGTGAAACGGTAGCAAGCGCAGCTGGAGACGAAATGACACGACGTGGTTATCGTATTCCTCTCACCGGGTATGACACTCAAGAAAACCGAGAGAGACTCACGGCGTTTTCAAGAGTGACTCACCCGGACGAAATGGTCCCACCAGTCGTTTTTCTTTTTCCTTTTTCCTTTTTTTTTTTTTTCAGAACGTTTCCATACCAGGCACGAGAACGCATGAAATTTATGGCTCGCGCAAATTCAAGCAGAATAGCGATCGAAAGTAAAGTTCATTGGATTGCGAGCGTATAAACCCGAGAAACATCCTCGTGATCGAGTTACATTTCCGGTGGATGCTCTTCGAGTCCATCGAACTGGATATCCTGTTCTCGCTTCATGGCTCTTTTTTCGAGCGCAAATGTATCTCCATCACGAAACCCTTCCTAGCGAAGGCTAGTCGATCGATCGATGGCGTGGACAAACGCCACGCAAAGATGTAGAGTAAAGCACGAAACAAAGAAGTATATACGCGTATGGATGAAGGGGGGGGGGGGAAATTAATGAAGAAACAAAGAAAAGGAAGATTTTTTTTTTTTTTGGATCAAAGAGTTGAGAAAGTGTCGTGTCATCGACCGAGAGTCGATAGGATATGGGCTGTTGGTTCTTTGGACGATCGACTCGTGCGACGTATATACTCGTTTGGAGAATCTTCTCCCCCTCCACGAGGTCCGCGCCGCCAGGCCAGAAGCGCGTCGCGTAACCGAGTGGAGAGTCGATCTCAGGACACCGACACGAGTACGTTTCCTCGCCAGTTTCGCTCCGCAGGCTCCACACCACTGGTGCACTCCTGCGCGACACCCGATTGCACTTGGTTCGCTGCACACGCTCTCTCGTCGCGCACTCGCCTCCACGCACATATTCGTTTACCACGCAACGACTATCCCCGAGGACTGTCAGCTTTCTTTCCACTCTCTCTTCATCCTCGAGGGATCAGCTGTTCGCCCAGCTGCACCATTTTTCTCGTTGGCACACGTAGAGAGAAGCTAGCTTCAAAATGAGGGAGATCGTACATCTGCAGGCTGGACAATGCGGAAACCAGATTGGTGCAAAGGTGAGTTAATTAATTGGTTTTTGTTAAAAAAAGTTCAGTGCTGTATAATATTTTTTTTCCCCCCTAAACATTTTTGGAAAATCATTCGCCGCAATTTATTCTCGGCATGTCTTAGCACGACAAGAATTTTCTTCTTTTTCTTCTCTCTCCTCATCCTTCGGTGTAATTCAACTGGGCTTGTAATCGAATTAAAGATAAGGCGTCGGCCACGACGAGCAACGAGATGGAATTTAAAGTGTCTCCTACTCGACAAAGGGTCATTCGTGTCGTTTGAAAACTCGATACGAAAATATCAATTGAGCGCCGGATTTTTTTTTTTTATCCTCGTTATAATCAACGGAATATCGGCTCGAATTCTCATTCTTGATTTTGATAAATCGCGATTTTTCGCAGTCCAACGACAATTAAACAATTAAAATCGTATCGTATCGTTTCCGTCCGTGGATTTCTGAATCTGGAGTGGAATTCTTCGATGCGGAAAACGACGACGGCGGCCGGCCAACTGTAAATCGAACAAAGGGGGAACTCCCCCGCACGAGGAAAGAATTGCGCCGGTTCGATCGATCGGAAAGAAACGAAAAGCGTAACGAGCGAGTAATACTAATTGCCGCTCCACTAATTAAGTATACCTATAAGTGTTTGGCAAAATGCACGACTCGCGTGTCGTGAAATTCCTGGGAATGGAAGGCGTCGCGGTCGTCGTCGCGGAGGGAATCACGATGGATAGATGGCTATTAATAGAAGAGAGAAAATAGCGAGGGCGAGACAAACGTAGAAACCGACAACGTACGTACGCCTAAGGGAAGTTAAAACTCGAGTTGCGGGAGCGACATTAATTTCTTTCTTTTTTTTTTCTTTTTTTTTAGACCAATCGTTATCCCTCTCAAACGGATAATTTCGTTAATTGCATTATTTTTTCTGGAAAGAAAAAAAGGAAGGGGAAGAGATAAAGGGCGATCCAAAATTCTGACAAATTCTTCGCGAATTTCAACACACTCTTCTTATATTCTTTATTTATTTAGTTCTGGGAAGTGATCTCCGAGGAGCACGGCATCGACCAATCGGGCATTTATCATGGAGATAGCGATCTGCAATTGGAGCGAATTTCCGTCTACTATAACGAGGCTTCTGGTAAGAAACAGAATGAGAGAGAACAAAAACTCCACTCTCCTCTTCGTTTCCCCCTCTCATCGTTCCTCTCCCTCCTCGAGAATAAAATCTTGCTGGAAATCCGACTTGGAGAAGAAAGGACTAGTACCCGGTCCAACCTCGATCTCGTGCACGTTTTAAAATAGAAACGGTTGAAACGGCGACACGACGGAACGTAGGAGAAAACAAGCGACAAAGAGTAGCGGCGTTTCGCGACGAAAATAGCCGTTACCGTATGACCACGTTCGCCCTTTTGAACCCTGAAAAAAGACGAATGATCCACGCGCGCAAAAAGAAAAAAAAGAAAACGATCGACGCGAGGCGGCCCGTGCATCCGATTTGCAAATCGTGGCGCGCGTTTCCGTCTCCACCATTTAAAGTATCGGTTTGTCGCGACACACCGGTTTCGGTGGAATGACAATACATTTCAGCCTGTTTAATATGAACGACGACACGCGATCCGTCATCGGTTTCGGAGGCCGCTCCTCCCCTCGCCCTCTCCCTCTTAACACTAAACCCACCGACATTTCATGTATATACCTATTCCTATCCATGACCGCTGCAAAAAAAAAAAAAACATTTGTGTGTTAATACAGAAAGAGGTTTTTAGCTAATTGGATATTAAACGAAATATTTTTCCGATGCGTGATCGGTTATATCTACACCGAATATTGTGTATAAAGTCATATGGCGATACGGTACAACTTCGTATACAAGAAATTCTAAAAGGAAATTTGAAAAACGGTCATTTGGTAGGTTTAGCGTTAAGGAAGCTTCTGCTCGTTGCCTGATCAATAAAAAAATTGCAGTCGCGACCTCGACCAACGGAGGAAAGTACGTGCCCAGAGCCATCCTTCTGGACTTGGAGCCAGGGACGATGGACGCCGTACGATCGGGCGCCTACGGGAAACTGTTCCGCCCGGACAATTTCGTGTTCGGCCAATCCGGGGCCGGGAACAACTGGGCAAAGGGGCATTACACGGAGGGCGCGGAGCTGGTCGACTCGGTGCTGGACGTGGTGAGAAAGGAGTGCGAGAACTGCGACTGCCTGCAAGGCTTCCAACTGACCCACTCCCTCGGCGGGGGCACCGGGTCAGGGATGGGGACGCTGCTCATCTCCAAGATCCGGGAGGAGTATCCGGATCGGATAATGAACACGTACTCGGTGATGCCCTCGCCCAAAGTGTCGGACACGGTGGTCGAGCCCTACAACGCCACCCTGTCCGTCCACCAATTGGTCGAGAACACGGACGAGACGTACTGCATCGACAACGAGGCCCTCTACGACATCTGCTTCCGCACGCTGAAGGTGTCGAATCCTAGCTACGGGGACTTGAACCACTTGGTCTCGCTCACCATGTCGGGAGTGACCACTTGCCTCAGGTTTCCCGGCCAGTTGAACGCCGATCTGAGGAAGCTGGCCGTCAACATGGTCCCGTTCCCTCGTCTCCACTTCTTCATGCCAGGATTCGCTCCCCTAACGTCCAGATCTATGCAACAGTACTCGGCCCTCTCCGTTCCCGAGCTCACCCAGCAGATGTTCGACGCGAAGAACATGATGGCCGCCTGCGATCCGAGGCACGGCCGTTATCTAACCGTGGCCGCGGTGTTCCGCGGCCGGATGTCGATGAAGGAGGTCGACGAGCAAATGCTGAGCGTGCAGAACAAGAACAGCTCGTACTTCGTCGAGTGGATCCCGAACAACGTGAAGACGGCCGTGTGCGACATCCCGCCCAAGGGTTTGAAGATGTCCTCGACCTTTATCGGCAACACGACCGCCATCCAAGAGTTGTTCAAGAGAATTTCCGAACAGTTCACCGCCATGTTCCGAAGGAAAGCGTTCCTTCACTGGTACACGGGCGAGGGTATGGACGAGATGGAGTTCACCGAGGCCGAGTCGAACATGAACGACCTCGTCTCCGAGTATCAGCAGTATCAGGAGGCAACCGCCGAAGAGGATTTCGAGGCCGAGGAATGCGCCGACGACTTCGAGACCTGCGACCAGGAGTGAGGATCGAGTCAAGTCGACTGAAGAAAAAAGAAGAAGAAAAAAAAAAATCTTCTCTTTCTCTCCACCAACTGTCCGCCGAATCGGACGGATTTCTTTCTTCTCTCTGTCTCTATCTTTCTTCCCTCCGACATTCCCTTCCTCCCAATCTTCGATTCGGTCGTCGAGAACGTCTCTTTTTCTACGATTACTTTTCTTTTGTACTTTTATACAATGAAATCTTTTTGAAATCAACGCGACGCGGGGAGTTGGCCGCCGGTTTCGAGTGTCGATCGGTCGCGGTTCGAACAACCGATCGCCGGTTAACTGCGGACAAGCGTTGAAAAATGGAAGGAAGAAAAAAAAAAAAGGATTCTCGGGAAACGATTCCACGAACGTGAAACAACCAAAGCACCCGAAACCAAAAATTTTTATCTTTTCTCTCGTTCGCATCCACGACAATTATATCGCATATATACATATATATATATATATATATACATATATATATATATACATATATATATATATACATATATATATATAATATATATATATATATATATACATATATATATATATATACTA